ATAATACGAATCGTCTCGTGTGAATTTATTTTTTAAAAACAATTATTCGGCTGAAAAAATTAATACAAAATTCACGTTTCAAATTTAGCCTGTATACGTTTCCGGGCTGGCTGCACTATATACTACCGCAGCAGTTACATATTATTATTGATAAAAAAAAAAAACAGGAAAAACGATTTACTTATAATATTATCATAGGTATTATTGCATTCAAATAGGTAGTCATATTATTATTACGACACTGATATATCGGAGGAGGTTTTTTTTTTTTTTTTTTCAATAACTATAACCGTTGTTTCCGTTATACGGATACACGAAAACGAAATATCTGCCTGTCATCCACGTTCAATTTCCATTTCTTGTACGTAATAAAACGCGCGATCACGTGTTCAATAACATAATTTTTATCGACGATCTGTATAGTACAATATCGTTGACGAGACATTTTCAGGATATATCGTTTTGAACGTATGTGTATGTACGTATACGAAAAAAAAAAAAAAAATTAATAAAAAAAAAAAATGAGTGCCTATTTATATTTTTTACTTTTGGTTAGGTGCCTATAATAACGATATAATATTAAAATCGATTCGTGAAATTAAAATCGTGACGTTATTGTGCAAATTTTTCGGAATACAACATATCTAATTCGCGTTTAAGTATAATAAAAGAAAATATTATTATATAGTATTAGTAGCCAGCAGTAGGTGTTGGCAAGTAGGTACGGCTAGCGCGTGTGTTCGTAACTACGCGCGAAAACTGTACATGGTTTTGCTTCAAATTACAAAATATATTTGTGTCATTTTTCCGCGAGTTACGTAAAACAGACTCGCCTATATGCGATATTTTCTGTACGAATCAAATGGATTTTTACCGCGGGATACACACTCACGGAGTTACACGGAGGTTGTTATTATAAGCGTAAAATACTAATAAAAACGGGCGTGTCGTTGTTTTAGGAGGTGAGACGTTGGGCAGTTAGGATACGTAAAGTTATTTAATTTATATCTGTGAGCAACGATAAAGAACAATGCTAATAAAGAAGGATTCGGAGCGAAGTTCGGTTATACGCGTTTATAAAGGTCGAAATATTTATGATTTTCGTCAAAATTGCATGTTAAAACTCAAAAAAAAAAAATAAAAAAAATACATTAAACTCGATTTTTTCTTTTTACCATTGAAGACAACTCATAATGAATGTCCTATTAAATTTTCTAACATTTTTAAAAAAAATGCATACACAGAGTATCTAACAAATAAAAATTACGTAAAAACCTCGCAAAATTATAATATCTATAAATAGCTCAAAAGTTTATCACGTCTAGAAAAGGTAAATATAAAATTTTCTGTCAAAATTGCAATTCTCCACGTAAATATTTTTAACTGAATTATAATAAAAAAAAAAAAAAACAAAACAAAATTAAATAAACCTACGTTACCAACGTGGCGAGCCACAAATATTTGCCGTTTTACCTATAATTTATTTCCGGTTTTTCCCGATCATTATGAAAACAACTTAGAAAATCGAAAAATTATCTAAATTCACCAGCTAGATAGAAATTTTTTTCCGAACAAATGCTATTCTTGATTCGTCGGAGCAAGATTTCTGGAATAAAGTTGCTCGCAGACACAAATTTTATTTTAATTTATTTTGGAGTTTTCTAAGCATACAATTTTAGGATTTCGTACATTTATAAGATATTTCCAAAGTGATTTTTATTGTTTTTTTTTCAACAAATTTTTTGAATGGCATATTTTGGTATTTTTCACACATATCTGTAAATTCATATTTGGATATATTATACGGAATCATTAAGGAAAATCTGGCTAAATTGTTGCGTTGCGTACTTATGCGTCAGGCAAAGAAAGAAAATACCGAATCGCAATTATAAAATGTTTGTCACCGTTTTCAATCAAATCGGTTGTAATGGAGGTGTCCAAATTCACGTGCATAACCCCGCTAAGAAAAAAAAAAAAACAAAGTATGACTACGCTTAAGTTTGAAATGAGTACATAAAACGTTACAATATGTTTTGTATTTATATATATATACAAAAAAAAAAAACCAAACCGTAACAGTCCAATAATTAATATTTCCTTATAAGTAAATACCCATTAATTACCTACTTTAAGTACAATCTAATTAATAGATAACGATTGTGCTTCTTTTGGAAATAAGTCTGCACTATTTCCACTATAACCACGTGCAATATAAAAAAAAAAATAAAAACGCTTTGTCGTAAGGTAATAAGGGAACGTAATAACGTTATAGTCGTTGTTGAGTAACTGCAGTAGTGTTTCATAATGTTTTAAGTACGGTACTATTACAAAATTACAATAATATAATATCCTTGCAGTGTTTACAAAATTATTTTTATAATATTAATTTGCGATTTGAGATTTGTCTAAGCTGTATTTTATTTGAAGTTAAAAAAAAAAAAAAAAAAAAAAACAAGGTTTCCATACGTGTGTGTTAACTCTGATAGAGTACACTAATTGGCGTCGAATTGCATGCGATCAATTCAAAATATTTCAAAACCGTAACTCGAAATTGAAAAAAATACTTGACGCAACAATGCGCATAATGATCGTTACACGCATTGTTATACCGTCTTGAAAAAATGTGAACACGTTTTAAACGATTTTAATGGGTATGTATCGATATCCGCTTGTAAAAACGCTCGATTAGAATATGATTTATTATTGGTACACTGGTCGAGAGTTACTTGTTTACAAAATGGTACTGAAGTTACGTAAAAAAAAAACGTAAGTAATAATGAGAAATAATATAGAAATTATTTTGTAAATACTCTGGGCCAATACACACGACGTTTTTTCACAACACTTTTTCTGAAAGGAAATCTGACTGGGGCAATACTTCGCAGGCGTGTCATTCTTTGATTTTCCCATGAGTTTTCCAAATAAGAGGGAAAAAGAGCGTAGGGAAAACGGGAAAATCTCCGCTCAGAATCGGTTTTTCATTATCAGTGTGTTCATTATCGTTGTGTACTCACCTACAAAAGTGGCCCACCAACGTGCGAAGCATGTCCGTCTTTTTTTCTTTTAAATTTAAATATTTTACCGGTTTTTGTGTAATTTTTTTACACGGTACCTACGGGGTTCGCTTGCAAGCGGTCTGAGACAATATATACTTGCAATACGACGCAGTGCGTAGTGTTATGGTTTATTGACATTACATTTACTTTTCACTATTCGTAATAAGACTCATAACCCGTCCGGTCGTGTACACGCTGTTTAGTATCGGCACGTCTTTATAAATACACGAGTAATACGTGTTTTTTTTTTTTTTTGTTTTTTTTTATTCAATAATATTATGATGAGTTCGTCACGTTACCGATTCGACTTGAATTTATGTTTGTTTTCAAGATTTTAACTGTCCGTGTAAACGTCAACGAACTACTATACCTAATATTACTGACCCAAATCAAAGCAAACTCGCACGTTTTCCGCATTCGCTTCGGCCGTAATACGATATCCACGGATTTACGGATTTGATTAAGCGCTAAAAATCTATAACAAAACACATTGTTTAAACGGGGAAATAAAATATAAGCTTTAGAAGTGCGTTTTTTAGCGAATATATCCACTGTGTATTCACTCCCACTACATTAAAAAAGACTCAACGAGCAAACAGATAAACCGAATTTTCCATTTAACTTTCCCCAGTTAACCCCTGAGTGAAAGAATTTACTATTATAAAATAAAATGTTTCGTTAGAAAATCAATTATTTCAATAATTTACCATTGATTTTCTCGTAGACACACAGTGAGCAAAATCTTTCTCGAATGGGTTGCCGACGGATTTTACTATGGACACAGTGACTTGCATACAAAATATCTTTAGAAATCCTTAAGTGAAAACTACAAGACCAGTTTTTTAACACTAATTGTTATACGCGAAATATTGATAAAAACATTTAAAACACTTAAGAACCGTATAAATAGAATAATTAAAAACACACAATATAAGTATAAAATCCAAAATTACTTTCCCCCCTCCCCGCCCAAAATTTAATAAAGCAGTAGCAAAACTGATTGCTGAGTATTTTATATTATTTTTTTGATCTATGCCCGAAATAATAATATGATTATTATTTTCGACATTACTATTATTTGTTTTAACATGATATTTTTTTGATATTTCGATATTATTATTTACGGGGAAAAAAAAAAAAAACCATCAAAATTGACCGAGAAAATCGGTTGAACACGTTAAATGGATCTCCCGGTAGGTTGGTCAACGAACTAAAATAATACTAATCGAAACGGACCTTGACCTAGTAAATTCGATAATATAGTTGTATTTTGATAAAAAATATAACATTGACTTTGAAACAAAAAATTACAAATTTCCCACCGGTTGAAATCGCATTTAATTTTATATTAATTATATTATTTCAGTAGGTCCGCCGCAAGTTTAATAATTTTTGTGTTCGTTTCAACCTATTGCGGTTTCGGTGGGTTCAGGGTCGCCAATCGATTAACAAACGCATGAAAATAATTGCGGTTATTTGACGAAAATTACTCTGCAGTTATGTAAATAATATTACAATGTTTATTCATCGACGATTTTCGTCCTCGAGATTCGCGGTTATTTTATTCGATTGAAAACTATTAAAACGGAAAATATTAGATACATTTATATAGGTTTACCAGAGAAAATGTGATTTTTTCGGTTAGTAAAGAAAGCTTTGATTTTTTTATTTTTTTTTTTTTTTTTTGTCGGTTGTCTCATCGTACTCTTTGTACTCTTTCGGAATTCTCAATAGCTTACGCTCTTAATAATTTCATGTTCACCAAGACATTGTTAACGTGTATCGAATTATTTATATCTACACCGGTGTGGTTAAAAGATTCGAAAAATTGTTATTTTTTTAAAAAAAAAAAAAAAAATGTATAATTTCATAAGTATAATTCGTTGTTCGAGAGAGATCTACGTATTCCTTGCAATCGAAACATTCTAATACGGATCGAACAAAATGGAAAGATATGACGCCGACCAGCCCTTTGATGACATCACAGTCGTATCCTAAATACTTTTCTAATTTCCATATAAATCTGAAATCAATTAAACACTATTATTAATGGAAGGTCGTGTGTCGGTTCCGACTAGAAGGTTTAAGACACTCTCAAGAAATCCATTCTGTCCAAAACTCTGTAGAAAACAAGTACGCTTCACCGACATTTTTCGTAAATCTCTTTCGAGTAGTTAGCTTCGACGTTTAGCAACTTACCACTAGTATTAAATTTGCTTATACATTTATTTTAATATACATTGACTACAATGGCTAATTGTCGCCATTATTGTAACTACGATTGTTTGCTAATCGATCTGTTAACATGCAAAACTTTAAAGAAGACAATTTAAACAGACTTTGAAAGAAAATCCGAGCAAACGAATTCTGTACTGCACAACATGAAATAGTATATGCTTGATAATAATAAAAAAAAAAAAAAAAAAACCACTAGGTGTGCCCCCGGAAAAAAATCTGGACACGGTGTTGTTTCGTATGTACTACGCCGATACCGATCGAAAATGTAAAATAAAATTAAGCAGATTATTATTTATTGCGTACTACGAGTATAGGTACGCAGAGATAAAATTGGTTTTTAATTCAACGTCGGCGACGAGGCCTAGCAGAAATAAATACCGCGGTCACGGGGTCGAACGCGTTGACACGTATGTTAAGTACACAGTTGCGGCAAGTAAAAAACGATTGCAATAAATAATTATACAATCTCGAAATACTTGAAAGCATAGCTGTAAATAATCACCCTTGCTACACTGAGGTACCGACTGCAGAACAAACACAAATTAAACGAGTCACGAAAGCACAATCCGCGATCGTGCCAAGTTCCCGGCCTCTAAACGTATTTTAAACAATAAACAATAATTTCATACCCAATTTTTTCCGACGAGTTCGATAACCTAGAATTATACTGATATATAATATTAATACTCGCATTTAAATTGATTACTGTGGTAATCCTATCGATATTAAAAAGGCGGACATACTTCGCGCGTGGGTGGGCCACTGTTTTAGGTGAGAAGTTGGGAAGGTAGGGGAGGAATTTAGTGTATATCTGTACGCAACGATAAAACATTGCTAACGGAAAACGATTCTGAGCCGAGTTCGCTTGATAGTAATGTTTTGTCAACAATATATTTGTCATAATATGGTACACTAATTACATATGCATTATATATTTTCTCTAATAATATTTGTTTAATATTGTACCTATTTTCCTTTTTATCCCATTTATTATGAAAACAGCAAGAAAATTCAAAAGTGACCTCCTAAAGTACCGCTTCAGTCAGATTTTCTTTCAGAAAAACTGCTATCATTGTAAATCGAAACAAAATTGCTGATAGGAAAGTTGTTCACAGATAAAAAAAAAAAAAATAAACATCATTGTAAAACTAATACATTCCCAGCTTTGCTCAGAATCTAAAATGTAAAAGTTTGTTAGCCCTTCACACCAAGACTACAGAACGGATTAATAATACCACAATAATTGTTTACCACAGGTTACAGCCATCTGATTCCGAGATCCGTTCGTTTTTTAACTTAACCGAGCTTTGGCTGGTAATATGAATGCAATTTTTACAAATATACATAACAATATTTGTTTTTGATCTAGAACACACCCAGATTGTCAGATAAAAAACAATAACTGGTTAAACACTACTGAATAAAAAATGAAAAAAAATCATTAATACCACCGAAATCCGAATAGCCAATAGATTTAATTCACGTATCGCGTTAAATAGATAGAATAATCCAATATAATCCCTTTGTCAAATTCGACGGGAATTTTGATTCTAAACGTTTGTTCCACAACGCACGTAATATTTATCGAGTGATTCATTATTGTTTGGTGGAGCAGAGTTTCTATAATTGCTACCACCCTGTAAACAAAAGCAAACGTATTTTAATCGATCGTACAAAAATGTAAAAGAAAATAACACGTTATTGGTCAGGTTTTGGTAAGATAATTACCACTAAAAAGTAACATAATTAAAAATGAAAAAAAAAAAAAATATTTATATTTTATGTTAGAAGGTTATTTTGACTGACCTTCTATAGAATAAGTATTTATAAATAATTAGAAGCATTCATGTATACAACTTGGCACTTTTAAAATAATTATCATCAATAAACAAAATAAAAATACTTTTCCATTTAACATTTAACGAATGGAAAACTAATCAAGGCCGAAAGAGTTCAGCCCCGGAGCCGAACTTGAAAATGGTCCGTCTTTATGTTAATTATATATCAACTTCTATAGATAACAACAAATTTTAACGACTATTCAACAATCCGGAAATCAACAAAAATTTTACTAACATTTTCCAGTTTTTTTCCATTAGAATCATCAAATGGCCTCCCCAACACAATAAATAAATCAAGAATTTTAAAATGCTACAAGAAAGTTTCTATAAAGTTTTTAATTGAAACAAGATTTATGTTGGAAAAGTTTTTTACAGAATCACCAAAAAAAAAAAAAAAATGTATACTCAGTAGCGCCCAAACTATATTTTTATGATTGAGCAGAATTGTAAATTAAAAACCGTCTCGACAACTTTTGTACCTAAATTGCGCTGCCTAAAAACTAAAAAGCGTAGCATTTGAATTTTTATACCGTTCTACCCGACTATCCCAAATCCCGATTATCGGAAACACCCATCGAAACGTATAGTATGGTCACCACTGCAGTGCACCGATAGGCTATAATTGATTTTTTCGTATGCATATTTTAACACACGGCGGTAGTTGGTTTTGGTACGAGATTACGGTACCTCTTGTGTACCAATAACCGATACGTAATTTACAAAAACGTGAACAATAACGAAAAATAAATCGAATACTGTTATTAATAATCTGCCGAATAAAATATAATACTATATTGCGTTTTGGGAGAGAACACAAACCGAAGAGAATAATACGTAGGCAGGTACACACCGCAGTGCAGTAGACGGGTTTACTTTAAATATTTTTTACTTTCCCCGTTTTCAATTCGAACATCGAATAGCAATAATAATTGCTCGTGGACTTTATATAATAACGTCGCATTATAATATTATTTTCGGGCGTCCGACTATTACGTGAATTTAAACAATGTGTTTGTATTATTATTGTTATTGTTATTATCATTATTATACACTTGTAGCGGTATAATAATAATAACATACTATTTTGTTCTATGCCCGGTCGAAAATCGAAATATCCGATCGATATTTTGAAATATCATTTAAGAGGATTCTTTATACTACCTAACGTTTATTTTCTCCGTCCGTCTCGCGGGTAATACGTAGCAACAAAGGCATTCATTATCCCGACGATCGCGATTCTCGGGTAGAGATCGGTGCGAATAGGGACCGAAGATGTTACAAAGAAAAATATTTGTACTGCGATTCGACCGAACGTTTTTTTTTTTTTTTTTTTATAGTCGAGTAGTTGAAAAGGTAGTAGAGTGGAAATTCAATTTACATCTGTAAGCAACGAGAAACTATGATTTTGAGCGGAATTCGGTTGTCAGTGTTCCCTTGTCGACAATGTATAAGTCATTCTATATTAAAAAACAATTACATATGCATTATATTATATTTTCTTTCGTAATAATTGTTTGATATTGTGCGCGTTCTCCCGTTTATTGGGAAAATTCCTGGGAAAGTAAAAAAAGTAACCGCCTTAAAGTACCTCCCTAGTCCGATTTCCATTCGGAAAAAAAGTGCTATCGTTGTAAATCGGAGCGTAATTGCTGGTAGAATAGTTGTCCATAGAAATAAAAAAATAAATAAACATATTTGTAAAACCAATACATTCCTCGTTCCATTCGGAATCTAAAACGTATTCGGCGGGGCACAATACAAATAGTCTTCTTGCAATCGTTGAAGCGCAGAACGCTTCTGTTTCTGTATTATTGCGTGCGAGGCGGACTAGAGAGAATGACGGAAAGCCGTTGGAAATCCCGACGCCGTAATAATCGGTCGATTTCGCGCCTTAAATAGTACGCGTTCACATCGGGTGCGACCGTCACACGCACACGCACTACGCGAAAACGCGGAATTAGACTTTGTCGTTTTGATCCCGACGGGATTCAGACCTCACGGCTTGCCGGGGTCTTGTCCGTCGACGCTTCGACCACGTCGGACCCGGAGCGGACACACGTCGGCGCGTTGGCCCGTTTAAAATGTATTTTCAAAGTTTTCGATCCGTGCGATTTTCATTTAGAAAAAATATAAATTTAATTTGTACGAATAAATATTTAAAACGTTACGCAACGAATTACGTATATCGTTACCGACATTATTTTGATTTTTTTTTTTCCCCATATCGACTGTTATCGCTGGTTCACGTAACGTGTTAGTCGATTAAAAAAAAAAACCGGCCCTCAGAAAGAAACCAGATTGTTCTCGAAATTATACTCGATATGATATTGAAAACATTTTTAAATGGTTTAAACACGTTTTTGGTGTAAACTCGCGATTTTTTATTCGAATCCTTTTCCTCGGATGCCGTCGATTTTCGTCGAATTTTCCACGAAAATAGAGAGATTGTCGCTCTGTATTGTGTCTCAGATTTAAGTTTCGTCGATACGGTTTCGTGTACGCACGGCTTTGATTTCAAGTGTGAGCGTTTTAAGAGTTTCGACTTTTTTTTTTATGCTCAAATTTTACCGTTTTTTCGCAAGTTGTATAATAGAGTAGTGTATTTTTGTTTGTTATTTTAGTAATCGATTATTTGTTGTTTTACAATGCATATTTCTATAATGAAAAATAGATGGGTGAGGGTAATATTCAACTCAAGTGACGGAGTTATGTTGCACACTTGCGGTTTTTTAACACGCATAAAAAAAAAAACCCACTAATTTAGATAATCCTTGAATCGATCCGAGTACATAAATACGGTCAAATAAACGAAACAACCGGGTGACAGATTTTGCGAATTTCACGTTAAATAAACAAAACGAATAAAGAAAATGAATATTAAACTCGAAATTAAAAATTATAAATCGAAAACAAGACACAGTTCTTTTGGACTACGCCGTTGTCAACTGCGAAAACTGAAAATTCGCGGTAGATGCGTACTCAGTTGGGTTTTCGGTCTTTCGAATCCGTTATTATTTTGCCCCTTCGAACTACCCAACGCGGTTAAGCATAATCATTCGAGGGTTGTTCCGATCGAATTTGCGGACGGACGAGGTCTTAGGACCAACGGAGGCCGGGGGACTCGAGAAATTTATGTGCGCGCATAACAATTATTGACAATGTCGGGTGGGCATAACCGAATTAGATAAAATCCAGAACGCGCTCGTCGGTTTTCGGTGTGCAGTCTGATTAAGACGCCGTATAGTTTGAACAAACGATACGGATAATGATAATGGATTTGAAAGTTCGGCGTTCGAGTGAATTCGAAAAATGATATAGACGAACGGGGCGCGTTTCATTCGATCCGACCGATCGTTTTAGATTCTAAGTGAAGCGAAGAAGCTTATGGTTTTACAATGATGTTGATTATTTTCCTTTTTGTATCTATGAGCGACTTTTCTACCAGCAATTTCGCTTCGATTTACAATGATAGAACTTTTTCTGAAAGGAAATCTGACTAGAGCGGTACTTTGAGGAGGTCATTTTTTGATTTTCTCTGGAGTTCTCCCAATATATGTGAAAAACCCGGAAAATCGAGAGAACGGGAAAATAGGTAAAATATCAAACAAATATTATTTTTTCGTTTTTTCGTTAGCAATGGCCAATCGTTGCCTAAAGATGTACATTAAATTTCCCGTCTGTATTCTATCTTTCCAACTTTCCAACTACAATAGTGACTGGATCCGTCCTCGTTATCCTAGGATAGCTTTTTCACGTCGTGTTTGTTGCCTTATTGTCTTTGTTTCGTCGCACACGTCTCACGCCGAACTCGTCGACGTGCAAGACTGTATCGAAACGGTCGTTTTGTTCCGTTCCGTTTTCAATTCCAAATCAATAGTAATCGGTGTGCCTACACGTAATTAATTTACACACGCGTTTTTGTGTTGTTTTTTTTTTGTTTTCAGTATCAGATTCGCCGTCAGAAAGTCCGTAAACCGCGCATCGTACGAGAACGGGCGTGGACGCGCCACGGCGAAACTCTACCTCGGCCGGCGGATGACTTTGACGACCGCGGCGTAGTGCGCCCCGACGAAAAACCGGGAAAGCTCTCGGGAACGGTACCCGTGACACACCTGTACGACCGCGCACGCGATGACCGCGGTCTCATCGGCATCGCGGTAACAACGGTACCGGGAACGCGGTAACGACGGCGGCGGCGGCCCAACCTAACTGTATGTACCGCGTATCGTCATTACCGCGCGCGCTTGAAAAGGCGGTCGCGCCGTGCGATGTTACGCGTGCCGACGGCCGGCGGCCAATCATGACGGTCGTGACCCATGACGGGCGCCGCGGCACACGCACCGCGACGACCACGACCGCGGCGGCGGCGGCGACTGCGGCTCGGCGGGTTACCACTCGGCCCACGCCCGCGGCAGTCTGCAAGATGCGCTCCTGTTCTACGGTAACGGCGATCGCCTCCGGCTCGACAATGACGACGACGACGACGACGACGATCATGACGACGGCGTTGACTACGACTATCGCTGCGGCGGTCCTGCTGCTCTTGCTGGCGTCTTTTCCGCGGCAGGCGGTCGCGGCCGGACAGCTCCAGGGCCAGTACAACCCGCCGTACCCGGACATATGTCCCAGGTGAGCCGGCGTTATTTTCGGGGTTTCCGGAAACGCTCGTTGCGTGCGACGGGGTTTCCCGTCCGTTTTTACCGAATCGTTTCGCTAACCGTCGTAGTGGATTACGGAGGGCCGGTACAGATCGCGTAGTGTACCAAACTTCAGTCAACTCGTCGTATATTTTCACACAAGACAGATAAATAAAATTGATAAGATAAATTTCATTTTTTTCGCCGTTACGGTTTTCCCCCCGCCCCCCGGTGAACTCCCCAATACCTTCTCGCGGACCCCCAGGGTGGACTCCCGGTTGAAAAACGCCGGCACAAACGAGAAATCGAACGCGGGTCGCGCGTAGAGTACGAGTTTTCGAAACGATAACCGTGAGCGATAAATTACAGCGGGTTTCGGGCGCACATTTACGTTTCACGACTGCCGGCCGGTAATTCGTAATCCCGACGAAACGTATCGACACGGTTTTTTTCCCGAACGATAACGAACGAAATCCGAGAAACAGATTTCGTATTATTTGGGGGCTTAGAGTTTTTCTGTTCCGAGTACATGAATCTCGCACGGCGTTCTCGTTCATCAAAACATTACAGCGTGCACGTCCCGTTTGGCCGCGTGCGAGTGGAACGGCGACGGGTTTAACAGAATTCGTGTTTTGCTTTCGACGAGATTCGGCGAACTGGTAAATTTGTTCGTAGATTCCGAGCGGACACACCGAGTTGTGTATTGGTCATACAAAGACGTTTAAATTTTTTCTTTCAACAACAATTTCCCTCCGCCTTTCAAGACACAGTACCTTGTCCGGAAGGGACTTTTATCTGGATGGTACTTTAAAGGGGTCATTTTTGGACGTTTCAAGCGATTTTTTTTTTTTTTTTTTTGTAATTATTAGGAAAAACGGGAAAATTTACGAAATGTGCAAATAACAATTTACAAGTTTGTTTTATGTTTGGATTCACTAAAAAACATTCGTAGAGATTTGGAATTTGGACAAAAAACTTTTTAGAGGCGGTAAAATTTTCAAATTATTTGAGCCATTTTTTAGCTATTTATAAACTTACATTTTGCGAGTTTTTTTGTGTAATTTTTATTTGGTAGATACTCTGTGGATAAAACTGTTAGACCAAACAGAAATGCTTGAAAATTTATAGGAGTTGCACTTTGTGGTAAAAAAAAAAAAAATTGAATGCAATGTAGGATTATTTTTTTTTAAGAATTTGTATACCAAAATATTTCGATAAAAATATAATACGGCCTTTAAAATCACGTATAACCGAACTCCGTTCAGAATCACTGTTCGTTAGCAAAGATTAATCGGTGCGTACAGACACACATTAAATTCCCCTCTGTATCCTACATTCCCGACTTCTCGCCTACAACAGTAGCCCACCCATCGTGCGAAATACGTCCGTCTTAGTTTCGATATAACGAATGCCCGAGGTTTATACGAAAACGAAATGATATGCTCGAGTTATGGATTATTTTTGTTTTTGTGAAAAAAAAAACGCGCTATTTATTACGAATTTTTCACCGTTAAAAAGTTACACCGTTTCTTGGGTTTTTGACTGAAAAAAAGTTTTTTTTCACATCGCGTTTATGACGTGCTGACCGTTTTCTAAAACGTATTTCCAATTTTGTGGGATTTAACTCGGTCGGCGATAATTCATCGACGTATCGAAAAACGAATCAATCGTTCCGCGACGTTCGCAAATACCATTTTGTAAATTGTTAACCGTGTTATTGCCTACGGCTCTTAAAACTAGGGTAATGCAGGACCGCGTTTCGCACAGTATAAGACTGCGTGTGTCTGCCTGCTTGTTTAAGTGTCTGTTAATCGCCGGTCCCCGACAATTTTTGATTGTATTTTAATTGTTTCCGTACAGTAATTAGCAATGTTTACAATCCGTTTTTAGGTTATCGAACATGAATAATGCATTTCTAACGTCCGAACCGGTGAAAATATTCGCTAAATTACGGTTTAATGTAATACCAAACAATTATTCGTAATGCACATTTAATAATATTGAATGATAATGCGCGCGCTACCGGCGGGACCGTCGTCGTCGATGCCCCGAATAACTTAACTGGAAAACCGTTCGGAGTCCATGTTTTTCGACACGAGCGAACGCCAATGTTGAAAGTGCGCATACAAATGGTATACGCGGACTAATAAACTGTACATAAACTAGACGAAATAATATTGGAAAAAAAAAAAAAAACAAATTCCAACAATATTGACTAGAGTCCATCTTTCCCGAGAACAAAAATTACAAAAAATGGACGTTGTAAATTATTGTTATTGTAAAATCACGGATAATATTTTAAAAAATTACGATTTTATCGAACCCCAGGTAGGCGCAAATCACGGTATTATTTTTTTTTTTTTTAATTATTACACGGACCGTTAAATTATGTATAATTATAAATATCGGAAAGTAGGTACATAATGATAAAAAATATCGATTTACAAAATTATTTATTTATGCGCGGGATCCGTCGTTCTAATATACTGCGGGTAAATAAAATAAATTTCAAAAACTTTGATACAATATTTTATAGTTTTCTTGAAAAAATTTTACTATAATATTTATGATTTGATATCAAAAAAATAAATAAATAAATAATATTCTTTACCGACATACTCGTGGGTCTCTTTATATTATTTTATATTGTGTTTTAGATTCCGAGGCGATAAAGTTATTAGTTTTACTGGAATAGGTTTTTTTCTTTTGAAATACTTTTTTAGTTCAAATGCTCCAATTTTTCATACCGTTTTAATACCTTCGAAAATGCGAAATTTTCCGCTGGACGGCGATTAATTGAAAAACGGAATTCCTAATACTTTTTCAAAATAGTTGAGTTTTACGTTTTTTAGTAATCAAATCGGAATTTATTCCATGTCTGTAATATATATATACATATATGAATGAATCGTTGCTAACCAAAAACGGTTCTGAGCGCGAATTTCGGATAAACGCGTGTTGCGATGAAATTTAATTAAAAATTATATAAATTCGTAACTATGAAATAAATATTTAAAAATAACGATCGTGTTTTTTTCGTCTCAGATTCCCGACCTTTTTACGGAACAATATATCTACAAAAATCCGAATAGAAACTAAAAAACCTGGAATATTTAAAAGATATAAAAAACTTAAAACAACCCTCAAAATGATTTGAACATTTCACCACGACATGAAAAAATAAGGGCCAAACGGTTATTTTTAACTGAATTACAACAAGACAAAATTGAAAATAAAAAAAAACCTGTTAGTTCGAAAATATTCTCGTTTTACTGACGTTTTCTCCAGGCTTTTTCCAACTTATTAAATAAGAGTAAACCTTTACTCGTGACACCTACTTACAGGTCGAATTTAGGAACAAGATAAAACGGGGGGGCTCAAATAAAATTTACCTACCCGTATGTGTTAAAAATACTTTTTCTATATAAGTTATTGTTTAGTAAAAGTCATATTTTTAAGAAAAATAAAAAATATAAGGAAAATCGAAAAACAATCTTCTCAATGCACCAGTTAAACAAAATTCGCTACTAGAAACAATCCCTGAAGTTTACCGGAGTCATATTTTTTATATGCAAATTGTTAACAGATAGGAAAAAAAATTGATGAAAACCACAAATTATTAGCCAAACGTTTATCGGTACGCTCGGAATTTGAAATAAAATTTTAGCACGGTTCGGATATTTATTACATATTGTCCATGTCATAAGAATAATAGTAAAGTATAGAAATTGCAAAGAAGAATATGTGCACACAATTTAATTGACTATGTACTATCTTTTTAATTTCTTAGGTAATTGGCCGCTAGGACCATCCCAACATACAACAATACTTTCAGTTTTCCTTATCCGCTGTCTGTGGCTCCTCCTTTGTCTTTCCTTACTGCATCCTCTCGTCACATACCTGGCCTACCAAGCGGTATTTTCCCAATAGGATTTTCTTCAAACACGAATCGACTCGTCCGTATACTCTAATCCGAAGCTTATTATACGAGTCCCGAACGAATAATTTATTTTTTACAAAGAAGGGTAATTAGCCCTCCGCTTAATCCCCGACCTGCAGGCTAAAACTGCACTAACCAATCAAGGCCAGGGGTGGGGCTATTCAATGTATACTATAAATACAATAATTTACGTGTCGTTTCAGTAATATTTATTGTCATGGCGAACTTTTGGACGACGTGCAAATGCAACAGTTGTACCCCGATTCAAAAACGTTCGTCGACAAGAAATTACGTCGGAGCGAACCGGAAATCATAAATGCATACAGAGAACTGAAACTCCGGAATAACGGTAGAGTTCCGAACAAGGCCGTGCTTACTAAGTTCGTCGAAGATAATTTTAGCGACGACCCGTTGCTCGAATGGGTACCACCCGATTTCAGAGATAATCCCACGATCGGGGCTTACGTGAAGGACCCGAATTACAAGTAATGACGATTATTGTGATATTTTTATATTAAATACCGCGATGATCGAAAAAAAAAAAAAAATGCAAAATGTTATTTTAATTTTCTTAATAATATTATAGAATTTGGATTTTGCAACTGAATCAAATTTGGAAAGGATTGGCCCGGAAGGTTGACGAGGACGTTAAAATAAATCCCGACCGTCATTCCTCCATTTACTTGCCAAACGGATTTTTCATAGCCGGCGGAAGGTTCACGGAGCTTTACTATTGGGATTCGTATTGGATCATAAGAGGTGTGGAACATTAATTTTTCCCCAAGATGAGGGACAACATAGTTAACGCGTAGATAATTAACAATTTTTTCACAGGGGCGATACTGTGTGACATGAAAGATTCCGCCAGAGGAATCATACAAAATTTCCTATATTTGGTGCACCGTTTCGGCTACGTGCCCAACGGAAGCAGAATTTATTATCTAATGCGATCGCAGCCACCACTTTTGATCCAAATGGCCGCGTCGTATTACACGTATACGGACGACTTGGAATTTATCAGGAAAAATATACAAGTAAATAATATTATCATTTAAAACAATCTTCTTTTTTTCTTAGGCAGTTCGATTTCGAACACCGTGTCATTTAAGCAAATTTATACATGTTTATAATATTTGTCCAAAATTCTCGGCCGTCTATGTTACGCATGGTTTCTCGCACTGACTTGATTGCTGTTAGAGCTTTGATTTTGTCAATAAATTGACTAATAGAACATCCTCTATTTCTGTTGCCTTGTATTTTTCTTGAATAGTTCTTTTTCTAGATCGCCTCTTTTTATAACAAAACTCAAAAATTTAAGTATTTGACGCTTTATTGGTGTGGGAGGAGGGAGATTTATTTTCTCGGATATTCAATCCGTTCAAATATTTGTGAATTTGTTCTATAAGCCGTCTAAAGAATTAGCCGCATTTATCTGTACGAAGACAAAATTGTTTTAGAACAAGATCATTTAACGGTCAATAATTCTGAGCCATATTGAAAAATACCAACGGTTTCAACAAATAAATCTTTGTTTATTTCTGTATGATAACATTCTTCCATGTCCTAGACAGTGTATTTAGTTATTTCTGTCCTGACTATTCTAAGTTTTCGTTTTATTTCCTCCTCAGAACCACCTTTGTTTGAAATGAACGTGCCTAAGTAAATAACACTATCTTCAATTTCTGTATCTGGAATTAGTTTGAAGTTGACGGGTATTGTTTCAGCTCGAGCGCCATTATTGATTACGTTGTTCTATTTAGTTTGAGGGCAGCATTCGCACTAAATCTCTAAAGTCTTTCAAGAAAATTAGTCATTTTATAAAATACGGACGTATTATAGTTAGTAAAGACTAGATAGATTAGGTAAAAACAACACCAAAAAAAAAAAAAAAAATAGTAAGATTGTATTTTATTAAACGCAGAAATAATGACGAATGATTAGTTAAATTATGATTGAATGAATAATACAAATTATATTAGACAAGCTGAAATTATCGAAAATATTAATAAATTTACTTGACTATAAGTGCTATTCTTAGGTTTTTTTTTTCCACTCATTAAGTGCAATTTTTAAATTTTTCGCAATATTAATAAGACAGATTCGGGATCCGAAATGGGAAAGTATTTTTTTTTATAGTCTTCCTTCAGCAGCTACTCTAATTTTTGACCATATACGTGAGAATAATAGGTTTGATTAACTAAAATTAACTCTAAAAAAACATTTATCATTTTGTTAGTATCTGGAAGAAGAATTCCAGTTTTGGATGAACAACCGAACGGTACAAGTGGAAAAAGCCGGTAATATTTACGTTATGGGACAATATAACACACACACCCGAGAGCCACGTCCCGAATCGTATTAGTAAGTACGAATTTAATTTTTTTTTCCAGGCAATTCGTTCATATTGTCATTAAATTTGTTTGTTTTATAGCCAAGATAAAACATTAGCCATACCGTTTCCCAGCGAAACAGACAAAAACGAGTTGTACTCAAGATTGAAAACAGCCGCCGAAACCGGATGGGACTTTTCAACAAAACATTACAACAACGATTTTGGCCAAAACACGGGTAACGATAATATATTGTCTATACGTATACTAGCTGAACATTCAACAGAAATTATTTAACAAAAATATTTATAACATTTAATACGTTATTAAATCGATCATTAATATTGTGTCGTACGCGAATGTAAACTTAGTTTTGTTTAGTTGACCTAATTTAATGTTTTCCGAGTACATAATAGTTCAATTCATGTAACGGACACGTCAAAAGCGAAACTTTAATTATGCAATTTTCGCTGTTTTTTTTGGATTCTGAGTGTGGCGAAACATGTATTGGCTTTACTAAGATGCTTGTTACTATTTTTTTTTTTTTAATTTTAATTTTTTTTTATCCTGTGTACGAAAATTCTACCAGAAACTTTGCTCGAATATATACGTGCGCACCATTTCTGAAAAAGAATGTTGTCCAGGCGTTACTTTTTAAAGTCATTTTTTGATTTTCCAAACGGTTTTCATAATATCTGAGAAAAACCGAGATAAAACGTAAGAAAAACAGGAAATGTACGAAAATAATGTTTTTATTATTTTTCAATTTTGTTATTTGTTTTAATTCAGTTAAAACATTCGTAGAAACTTGAAACTTGAACAAAAAACTTATATTTAACTATTCTAGAGGCGGTAAAATTTTCAAAAAAGTTAAGCCATTTTTGAGCTATGAATAGATATTTTAGTTTTGTGAGATTGTACGCAAATTTTATTCGGTACTCTGTGGTAAAATTGTTAGACATAAACAGAAACGCTTGAAAATTTAACAGGAGGTTCATTCAGAGTCTTATTTTGTAGTAAAAAAAAAGTTTTATTTAATGTTTTTTTTTTAAGGAAATTTTAATATTAAATTCTGAGGAAAATCGTTTGAGTATGTGGAACAAATCTAATTTATCAATTTGTTTTTTTTTTAAACATATGTACATTTCCGATTTAAACGATGGAAGAGTCAGAATTAAGCGGACTGACTAAGTTTCGAAATTTTAGCTTTTTGAAGTTCTAATATGTGGCGGATATTATATATTATGTTAAATATTTCTATACTGTATCTCTTCAAGCATAATTGTTGTGATGTAATAATGGTTATTTATGTCTGTTTTCATCCTCCGAATTCCGAGTTTAAACCAGTGTTCTGAAAAAAAATTGTTTACATTTTTTTTCCCTTTTACCTAAACAAGGAAAAAACAAATGCATTTTGGGTGTACCTAGAGACCAAAGTCATCACTCTCTCGAACTATTTTAATCGCAAAATACTCATCGATTTGTTGTGCAAACTTTTCAACCAATAATTTCTTTTTGATTTAAAACGATAACACTTTTTCTGAAAGGAAATCTGACTGGGAAGGTACTTTTGAAAATGTGAAAAACCGGGAAAAATTTGGGAAAACAAGGAAAAACGGGAATATCAGTACAATATAAAACAAATATTATTAAAGAAAATGTTTAATGCATATGCAATTATATTACCATAATATGATATGTATCGTTATATTGACAAAACAACCCTATCAAATGAACTTTGCTCCGAATCGGAAACTATTTGACTAATACGTTTTTTTCTGGGTGATTTTAGCAATTTTTCAGAGCATTTTTCGATAATTTTATTGGTATCCAATACCGAGCCCGAATAATAAATATTGACCTTCTATATCCAGTGTACGTGTAATTTAATGTCATATAATTTAGAATTAAGGATGACCAACTTGCGGCTCGCGTCTTATTTACAAAATCCAAAATCTATTTAATTTTTATGAATTTCAATTTTGTTGGTATACATTATTTAAATTTTTATTTTAACCTTGGAGGGACACATTTAACATTGCTAACAGATGTTGCATGAGTCGGTGAAAAATGCCATATCTTTTAACCAATATTAGAATTTGAAAGTCTAAGAAAACTTTTATTCGAAATGTGAATCGGTAAAATGTTATAAAACTTTTATAAACAAATGAAGGCGTTTACAACAAAACTCTTCAACAAAGACTATTTCGAAAACGACATAATGCAATTGGAATTTGTTGGATAATCCATAATCTAATCTGAAACGAAATTATATCGGGCCCGTAGGTAATTTGATATGTTTATCAGTTAAAACCTATCCCTATTACTTTTATATTGCGAATTAAAAAATTATAAATTAGATCGGATTATTTTTCAAATTATAAAACGCGTTTATAAACATTTTGGCTCTCGGTGTCATTGTGATCACGTGGTGGCCACCCCCGGTATAGACATGTCTCGAAATACGAACGAAGCACATTAATTTTTACGTTTAGTCGAGTAATTAATTTGCACGGGTACATAATAATAATAATAATAATAATAATACGGATTGATGTAATAGTAATTCGACATTTTTGTTTCCAGGCGATTTGTCCAACACTGATCCGCAAAATTTCATTTACGTCGAATTGAACGCTATATTGCAGGCGAACGCGGTTGTCCTCGCGCAAATGTTTAAGCTACTGAACAATTCGGCCAAGTTCAAACATTACAACGAAATCGGCAACCGTTTTCAGATCGGAATCAACGCCGTTAGTGAAATTTAATCCATACATAACAATATTCATTGTCATTTTATTACCCTCGGCTTTACATTATGTTTTAATTCGATTTAATATTGACTCAGTTGCTGTGGAACGAAGAGGAAGGGATATGGTTAGACTACGACTTGACCACCAAATCCAGTCGTAAATATTTCTACACGTCCAATTTCGCGCCGTTGTGGACGGGCAGTTACGAGAGAAAACTCCGAACGTATTACGGTAAACGGGCGATGGACTACCTGTTGGTCAACGGAGTAATCAATCAAGACGGAACTCCGAAACTCATTTGTAAGTACCTGCGTGTATATGTAAAATCGGTAACAATAGTATACTTTTTTTTTTTTTTTTTTTTAATTTTTTTATCGATGTTTAACAATAATATAAAATATCAGGTTAAAAATATTTGTTAACGTTGTATTATCCACTCGTATTATACGTTTCTCAATGCATCGGTGTACCACGTTTGCCTAAACGAAGCGCCCGATGAGACGACGTCCGATAAAAAATATTAAAATATTCATCAAATTTCGACGACGTTTGAGAACGAGGGTGTGGGGGTCGATGGAGGAATAGCGATTTACGGTCTTTCCAACCAAAGGGTGACTGGCACGGAGTTTTTTGATTTTTTTCGGAACGAAAATCGGAGTTTCCTTTTTTTTTTTTTTTTGTTAATGATTAACGGGTTAACTCGGGCGACACGGATGCCAATAACGGTTACTATTATTATTTAATGTGGTTGTGGTACACAAACAACGTACACGTTTTAAACGACGAATTACCGAGCGGCAACGAACAACCGTGATAGGGATAAGAGTGGAAACGGCCAGACACGTTATTTGGACTTATTTTATTGATTTCTGTTTTTAAAACGATAGAAATACCCGGGAAATATCGCATTATTCGGTTAGATTTATTCATAGAGTTTTTTTTTTTTTTTTTAAATAACTCAGGTATACCGACGTCGAACGTAAACTCGTCCCAGCAGTGGGACTATCCGAATTGCTGGCCTCCGCTCCAAGCCATGGTGATACAAGGGCTGGACCGCACCAACTACAAACCCGCGCAGACCGTGGCCATAAACTTGGCGAAATCTTGGATAAACACCAATTACGTCGGTTACATCACCAGCGGTACAATGTTTGAAAAAGTAAAACGATTTTGAATTAACGATAGTACAACTTTTCATTTCTAGTTTACGCGAGCGATCATTTCATGTATTATGTAGAACGAACTTATTTTTTCGACCGTAAAGCGTTGGACATGGTATTCCGATCAGGTGTATTATTTTTTCCTAAAAACAAATGTCCAGTTTGTGCATTTCGGAGATCTTTTTCTGACTTTGATTTTTAATTTCCTTAACAATTAAGAACGTTCGGGAAAAAAACGTTAAGGAAAAACGGGACAATTTACAATAATTTAATCATCAATTTAATTCGGTTAGAAATAATCTCAGATATCTGTAATTCTTAAAAAATTTACTTATGTTCGCGTTTTTTAAAAGTGATAACATTTTCTAACTTTTCTGGATAATTTTTTGCAAATATTTATAGGCTTTTCACTTTTTTTAATGGTGATTAAGTTTTTATTTGGTTTTATATGAATAACATTGTTTTGACCGAGCAATTGACCTAACCGAGCAATTCAACAAGAGGTTATACGTGTTGGTAAAAACAAATAAAGAATTTTAATTGAGCGTCGTTTTTTTACGAAATGTTTTAAGTTCCAATTTTGACGAAAATCGTAAAATACATTTGAAAACATATTAAATTGGACTTTTTTTTTTAACTTTTATTTCTGTTTACAGTACAGTGCCCTGGAAGTCGGTACGACCGGCGGCGGTGGCGAATATACACCGCAAACCGGATTCGGGTGGACGAACGGAATAGTGTTCGAGCTGTTCAGGAGATGGGGACATATATTCCGATCTACTTAAATACTATATAATACTTACCTACCTACATATATTATAATATATTGACAAGGACACTCGTTGTATTTTTATCGAATAGCCGATCTCGTGTCCAATGTATTTGTACGAGTACACGGCTAGTATATTTTTGTAATTTTTTTTTTTTTACACTCTGCGTTTGAACGCAAAACTATGCTACAACGGCCTGTGTTTTTTTAACAGGCTCATTTTTTATATTTACTTTTAGATTATTGTAAAAAGTTAAGTATAGTAATATATCGCGTCGGTTATAATATAATATAATACGATGTATGTTTAGTTATACAAAGTAATCTATATAGTTAAACAATAAGATGAAACCTGCCGAATATTCTCTATTCAGAGTGCACGGCAGGTAACTATTATAACCTCGAACTATTGAAAATTGTATTGTATTTTTTAAAACTTAATTTTTACAACCATATAAATATGAACAAATAAAAAAATTAACTGTAACGTTTATTTATTTTAATTTTAAAACGATATTTTATTTTGTGATGAATCATTTTGGTATTGAGCCCAAGCGACGAATGTATTGGTTTTACTACGATGTGATTTCATATATTTTTCATTCTGTCTATGAACACCTTACTTTTACTCCCGAAATCTTACTTCAAATCAAAACATTATAAGGGATCTTCTTTGTTGCTCTTTAGATCTATTTGATGCATAGAGTTTTTATTTTCCTTGTAGTTTTCCTAATATTGAGAAAAACTAGAAAAAATTGTTAAGTTTTATTATTTTGGTTTTTTTTTTTTTTATCCAATAGAAATCTTACTCCGAATTTCACGAGTAACATCTTTCATAAAAGAGAATTTCATCTAATTATTTTTAATATTTTTTTTTAACTTTCCCAGTAGTACGCATAATAAACATTCAATATTTAATGAAAACCATAAAAAATCACGGCAGTTCAAAACACGCTTAACCGGCCTTCGCTCAGAATCGTCGGAATCATATTGATTTATCGTTGAGCACAAATAAAAACTAAATAACTAATTAATCTCAAATTTTACTTATTTAACACTTCGTGAAACTTATGATAAACCTTTAGTTAAATTTACAAACCTTTCTTTTTGGTATAACAATTATATCCACAGGGTACCTATCGAATAAAAATTAACTAAAATAATTGTAAAATCAAAATATCTATAAATAACTCAAATATATCTCAAAGGTTTTGAAAATTGTACAACTTTTCTACCAAAGAAACTTGATTTTGAAGTATAAACTGTAGCACGTTTTGTGAAAGTTAATTTTCTCTGGTTGGTATATTGAAGAGGTCAATTTTCGGTCTGTTGGGTGGGTTCTTAAATGATAAATTCGTTTCATTATGTCTGCAGTTAGTATTTAAAACATCTAAATTTTGCATAATATAAATTATATTTATAAGCGCACAATTTGGCTCTTTATTCTAATTTTTTAGAACATATTTAGTGACCATTTTCGTACGAAATATAAACAATGAAACTGTTTATTTTTAATTTTATTCATTAAATATGAATATCATATTATATTTATATGTACGTTATTATTTATCATTTATGATAGGAGGGTGTTTTTTTTCCACAGGCATTTCTATAGAAGCATGTCGTTTTGTAACTCTACTTTTTATAGAGAAAATCCAGCACAAACGTGTGGATTGTGTGAATTCATATTCAGAAAAATAACCGTCTTACGAACTTTTATTTCGCTTGATTTATGACACAGATTATGTCATGTGTTAATGACGAGGCGCACTCCTTTTTCTTTATTTTTATTAAAACTGAAAAATGTATGGCGTTATGGTTTCATTATTTTAAATTTTATGGCTTATATTTTCTACTATAATAATATTGCTCCGATTAAGATATATCAAGAGATCTTTTTTGTTGAATTTGTAATCTAGTTGGCGAACATTAAAGTCATTTTTTGATTTTTTTTTTATAATTGAGCAAAACCGAAAAAAATACAGAAAGCACGAGAAAATGTACAACAATTCGTTTATTATTTTCAAGTTAGTATTTTTAATGTAATTCAATTTAAAATATTCATAAATATTTAAAAATTTTACAAAAAACTTATATTTTGTTTTTTTTAGATGTAGTAAAATTCTCTAAATAATTGATCCATTTTTAAGCTTATTATTTACATTTAATTTTGAGAGAAATGAAATGCTTAAAAATTTAACAGGAGGCGCCTTGAATTTCGTCTTTGTGATGAAAAAAAAAATCGAGCTTTATGTAGTTTTTTTATATATATATATAATGGTATTTTAATATCAAATTTTAACGAAAATCGTAAATATCATGGCCTTTCAAAACATTCACCAACTATTCTATCTGAAATTTTTTCTCTAATCGAACAAGATTTCAAAATTTCTCGTAGCAATTTTAATCTATAGTTGTTGCGTTGAAGAAATAATTTTTCGTATTTTATAGTGGTTTTGTAAAAATAAATAACAATGATTTTTGTAAAAATCCACTGAAAATCTAAAAATCTTATTTTAAATTTATATATTTTTTACAAGTATTTTATAATTCAATCTGCCCTAACGCGTTAACATTAAAATATTGTAAAGATTACTATTTTTTTTAGCTATACTATTTTAATAACACGGGGAAGAAGAACTTTTTTTACATTAAAGTGGTTCGGATAGGTTTAATTTTTATTAAGAAAATTTGCCAGGTTTTTTTAGGTTTTATTTAGATTTTTTTTTTTGTTATTATTTATTAACTTGTTAGTGCCAACACATTTTCGATTTCTCTGACTAAAAAGCGAAGAAATTTGAATCTGAAAAATAAGTGAATAATAAATTTGTATAGATTTTAGCTACTAAAAAAATTGTCTAGATGGAGAGATTATCTCTATTTTCTCCCCCCTTATGTACGCCACTGTTACAGATATTAATCACCTCTATATATTTTCCCTCCAACGACTCTCATAAAACAGTGACACACAAACTACCAATTACTAAACAGTATTAGTCATTTTTTTAAAAATACGAATAATTCACTTTCACAATACCCTAATTAAATATGTATTATTTTCGATGAGTCAATTCCGTCGTCGCCGTGTCATTTTTCTTCTATTTGTTATTACGACATAAAAAATAACCGCGGTTAAAGTCATTTACACCGATCACCATCATTTTATCACATTTATAATATATAACATTAAAATAATATTATTATTATTATGGTTACGTAACTTCGCAATAATTAATCCTTAAATAATAAATTGATTTATACTTACAGGCCGTTAATAATAATGAGTAGCGATTATTTTTTTACTGCGCTCTGCAACTTTGAAAAAAAAAAAAATAGCGTATTACGTTTTATTATTATTTGTGTTCGAAGATAAGAAAAACACTCTTAAGCTAAAAATATTATATTATTGTTATAGGTAATCAAAAAAAAAAAAAAAAACTAATATTACAATACGAATTATTATTATTCGGGGATTTCAGATAAACGATATTATCGAACGAACGGTTTTGATTTCATTTTTTTATTATAAAACAATGATTTTTAAATATTCTAACTTCTAAGAAACTAACAAAAGAATACCTAATCTAACCTATACGTGAAATTTATTGTTCGGCTATTATTTAATCCGCTTCGGAAAACGATAAAAAGGTGTTCTGCTTCTCCATATTAATAATTACTATCTATAAAAATTATATTGTTTAAAAATAATAAAAGCGTATAATCGTATTTTAATTGTATGATTTTTTTTTTTTCGTACATTAATTTTAATTATTCAGTTGAAAGACACAAAATTGATTAAAATTAAAATTTATGAAAATATTAAATAAGAATAAAGGCGTAGATACTGCTGCTGTATATGACACGGTTTTAGGAAAAAAGTTGAAAGGGAGGATTATATTGTATGCCTTAGTAAATTATAGATTTATTTAATTTTCACATTACGTACGAACGGATAAATCATTACTAACGTAAAACGATTCTGTGCTGAGTACTATTAGACGTAATTGTTCCTTTATTGCCAAGGAAAACTAGAAATCAACAAAACCTGACACTTATTCCCATTTGTTGAGGAAACTTTTCTTAAAATCAAAATGTGATCACTTCAATGCACCAACTAGATGACAAATTTCAGATCAGAAATAATTAGAAAGTTTCTATAGAACATTTTGATTGGACTCAGTGTCGTGAAATAATGTAGTTAGCAAAAATTATATACCTATACCTCCATTCATTTGTATTACCTCTAGAGAGCCACTCAAAATTTATTTAATAGAAATATTATCAAAGATAATTTCAATAACTAACCGAAAGTCTTAAATAAACACTACCGAGTAATAATAATAACTTGAACTTTTTTGAAATCAATGAGTGAAGATGGTCGACGAGAGCACCAATATGACAGTGTCTTGTGTGGTCATATACCAACGCTGATAGTATAGTAAATGCTATAGTTATGCTATTGACACACGGCGGTTGGCCAATGATCATGTAACACATTTGAACGTTGCTCATATATGTCATCTCCTTATACTGGACCAGAATTCCGAAATGTATTATATAATTTAACATTATTAGAACTTGGTCATAACTTAATTCGTTCATGTAAAAATACACCTACCTACAGCATTTTTAAACTGCGAATTTAAGCAACGCTTACACTACTTATATTCACGCCACGCCACTGAATTTGGATTGGAATCGCTGGTTGGAAAATCGTTTACAGGCATAACGAATTAAATAAAAAAACAAAAAAAAAAAATCCCATTTTAGTAAAACCAATATATTATTCGCTAAACCCGAAGTCTTGTAATAAACGAGATTCGTATGCGATTCTATTATATCGATGGGTTAGACATTGATTATTGTAATTTACTAGGTAAATAATAGAGAAATTAAAAACGAGTATATTTTTCGAATTTCGTTGTCTGAATAAAATTAATGTTTAACGTAGTAAATGTATAAACGGGACAGCTGACGGAACACACGGGGTCGTTTGTCTACCAGCCGGAAAAATTAAACAGTATTTAATTGGTTTTTGAAATGGTCGTCGTTTGTTGGACATTCGCGAATCGTATTGTTATTGAACTGTGTCCGCTTTGCACGAATTAGGTATAATATATTATTATCACCGTCATTTTCGGCGATAAAAATTCAACAGTCGTACATAAATTTTAACGCGCACCATTTGTGTAAACAGTATTATAAAATGCGCGCAACAATAACGCCGAATATTATTTCGTAGGTGTACATAGGTACACAACGAAACAAAAAAAACACCACCGTCCGTGACGCATACGTGGTCTATAGCCGGAAATAGTGATATTTTTTTCGTTTCGACGGCATTTTTATAGCGTTAACTGGTCACGGACCGTTTTTCAGATTTTGAGCACAGCGAGGAATGTCTAATGATATTGTATTAGTTTTGCTATCGTGTTGATTTTGTCTAGATGGCTCGTCGAGCGGGTCATATTTTTGGTTTTCCGTGCGGTTTACTTTATGATTAGAAAAAACCGGGAAAAACGTAGGAAACACGGGAAATCTAATGGCAATAACGATTTCGCGTTTTCGTTTTTGTCCGTTTACCACCGATGCATTCACATAACACTTATATTATCCGTTTCTAGACGTGGTCAATTTTTCAAAACATTCTGGCCATTTTTGAGCTACGCGTACTCATCATTTTTTAGTTATTACTCTGTAGTTTGGGTCCGCACCAGATAGGTACGCATTGATAAGTTCCAACGAAAACTGACCTGCATGTATATAAAAGTGTTTGCATACATAACGTTTCCCCGGGTAAAAAGCCCATATAGAATTTTTTGCTGGTAATTTGCTTTGCCGGTTTTGTTTTTGTTGTGATTACTTGGTAAGTAATGTGCAATGGTTTGTGGAACAGTTCAGTAAGAAATCAGAAATTACGACCGATACGTAGGCAGTTTATGTAGTCAGACACTAATTATATAACTAATGAATATATCGAGACATAGACGTTAAAATACAATAAAACTAAAATTTGAACTCTGTGGATAATTGATACCATACAATAAGTATATTATAATATACGATTTGAAAACGAATTCGAGTTGGTCAATGCGTTAATTCGATCGCCATTTAATATTATAATAATTATTATTATTATGAGTCATAATTTATGACCTTTACATTATGTAAATCAAAACGACTCCGAGAACAGAGTTTTTTTTTGACATTCGCCGTATATCATATAATTTACTGGTTAGGTTAGGTTTTTTTTTATATACCGACTGGAGCGAGTAATGTATTGGTTTTACAGTTTTGTTAACTATTATGTTTTTTTTATCATTTTACAGATAAAGAAGGTCATTTTTCGATTATCCCGGGAGATTTCCGAATAAATGGAAAAAACGTAAGAAAAATCAATTGGTATTGGTAAAGGTCATAAATTAATTCTTCTACACGTTTATTCCTTATAAACTTTAAAATTCCGCAATGTTCTACCCGTACACCTATGACCATTTATATTCCCCAATCTAAAAGCAATTACGCGAAAAACGAACCGTTAAGACGCGCCTGATGTCTATCGCCGATGAAAATCTCACTTTTTTAACCTAATTTTCCTTACTATGTACTATTTCGTTAATTTTGTATGCTGTTATTATTATTTTTCTTTTTCTTTTTAGTATTGTTATTACTATTTGTATTACTATGTATCTTTCCTACTCTTTACTGAAGCTCGAATGTTGTTACCTAATTGTATTCAAAGGGCATCGCCCGTTAATTATCGCCAAAAGTAAAATATTCTAAATATTCTAAATATTCTAAGAACGGGAAAATAGGTACAATATTAAACGAATATACTTAAAGAAAATGTTTAATGCGTACGTAATTATGTTACCATAATACGACATTTATATTGTTGACAGAGCAACACTATCAACTGAACTCCACGAATAATAGGTTTTTCGTTAGAAATGTTTAATTGCTGCGTACAAATGTATACATACAATTTCCAATCTATATTACCTCCCCACCTTCTGACCTACAAGAGTGGCCTGTTCACGTGCGAAATGTGTTCATCTTTTTCAAATTATATCCACGTATAGCTCATTGGGTACCTAAAATCGTTATCGTCATTCGAACGAAAAATGATGTCCGAAATCGGTCGCATCAAAAACTATTTAAATTAGGATTATTATGTTTAAACTGCGTAGTGCTCTTTCAGGATAAATTCGAATATCAAACATTTTGGCGACACATGTAGGTAATTCGACTGTGACGTAAAACAGTAGGTGAAAACCACGATGCCAAACCCACTGTTAAAATAATTAATAACAAAAAATTCAAACAAATTTAATTATATATATATATTTTTTTTTTTCTATAAATATTGTATGCCTGTACGCTGGGTAATCACAAATCAGTTGATTTATTTGCACCGACCCGCACAGTTTACAGTACACCTAATGAACTAGCATTAACATAATGGCGTGATAGTTATTATTTTCGAAATTAAAAAAATCCTAAACGCATAAAACAATAGCGTTTATTACAATATTCCGCAAATATGACGTGTCGATACAATATTATTATAATATTTTCGGTGCTGATTTTGTATTCGAAGATTCGGTTTTCTGCCCAGAAACTGCTGCACGGCCCGTACCATCCGTTACCCGTTTTCGAAATTTGCCCAAGGTAATATGATTATAGATTTTATATTTGTAATAAATGTAAAATAAAAAAAAAAATTGGCTGTTTTTATAAATACAAAAAATAACCGTACGCACAGAACAGTATACGTATGGCCGTGATATTATCGAACGTGTCGAATTAAACGTTCATGTCCTCCCACGTATTACCAAGTCGGACGAAACCGTTCTTAAACAAAAGCTGTCCTATAGGATTATAGGGTGGGGCGTAGCCACTGTTTTAGATGGGAAGTAAAGAAGGTAGGATTTAGACGGGTATTTAACCATTGCTAACGAAAAACGATTCTGGGCGGAGTTCGGTTAATAATGTTGCTTTGTCAACGATTCAATAATACATAAGTCATATTACGGTAAAATAATTGCATATTCATTAACCATTTTCTTTAATAATATTTGTTTAATATTGTACCTATTTTCCCGTCCTCACGCGAAGGTTCTCCCATTTATCGGGAAAACTCCTGGAAAAATCAAAAAATGACATCCTTAAAATACTTAAAGCAATCAAAAAGTTTCGCACAAGTAATAAAAAAAAAAAAATAAACAACTTAGTAAACTATAAGCTTCTTCGCTCCTCTCAGAATCTAAAAATCATCGGTTAATAGGACGTTATACCCACATCTACTGTCTCAGTCAAACTACCGAGTAACATACAATAACAATGCGTGCGCAGAATAAGTAAAACTAGCTTAATTTTGAGTTTAGGGTGAAAATATCTATTATGAAATTTATAGAAAACAATATTTTGAAAGGAATGCCATATTATTTTTATTTTTTTATTATTATTTTTTGAATTATGAGCTATTAAAAAAGTTACAGTTATTTAAAAAAAGGAAAAAATAAAGGTGTTTGTATCTTTTATATCGAGCTGTATATTTTGAATAATAAAACCCTATGACAATCCCTCCAAAATATTGTTCTCTATAAATTTCATAATAAGTACTTCAACTCTAAAATCAAAATTAAGCTACCTTTACTTATTCTGCGTAAACATTGTTTTTGAATGTTACCCGGTAGTTGGGCTGAGATAGTTTAATATGCAGGTATAACCTCCTCTTAAGTATATACTAGGACAGTAGGTATACATCGTTCACACCATTAATAGGTAGTGGGCTATATCCTGTGAATAGGCTAAAAATCATTCCAAACGAAAAACGTAAAAATAAATTACACAATATTTATGTTCTCATAAAACCAAATTTAAAGCCTAAGAAGTGCTTGTAAGTGTTTAATAAGTATTAATTTATTAAGTATAAGGTAAAAATTGTGTATCAATTATTTCCCACTGAATGAAAATAAAAATAAAAAAATTAACATCATTATAAAACCATGGCATTCCTCGCTCCACGAAAAATCTAAAAATAAAAAAGATAGAAATTAACAGACAAAATATTATGGTTTATACAAATTTGATAATAAATTATTATAACGCCAATAAAAATATACGACAACATTCCAAACATTTTTTTTATCCCTACGATTAATTCATGAGTTATGTCATAACATTTTATGACTTTTTATTACCCTTTTAATTTTTTATCAAATGTTCGAACATTTTTCAACAGTCAAAACAATATTATCCACTTAAAACCAAATAAAAACTGATCAACTAATTTAATATCACTAATTTAACGAACGTGCTATGTCAACAGTCGTATATATTGTCAAGGTGAACTACTACCAACTGTGGAATCGTCCAACATACTTACCGCATTTCAGAACATGATGATGATTCGGAACCCATCAGATGTAATAGAAAATTTTAACAAATTGAAAGCCCATGGTTATAATGGAAGCATTCCATTTCCAATGCTAAGAATGTTTATAAAAGAAAATTTCGTAGTTGAGCATGGCGTGTTAATAAACTGGTTGCCGATTGATTTCAAAAACTACCCACTGGTCATTGGTTTCATACAAGACATTCAATATAAGTAATAATAAAATATGTATTCTTATAATTTGGCAAAAACGTGCTTAGGTACAAACATTTTTTGAATGGATGACAAATATGAAATAATACATGATACTAATATTATACGATGCGATTTAACATTTAATTGTCAACGATAAAAAAAAACCGGACATACATCTCACCTTGGATAGGCAGCTATTATAAATGGGTAGTAGCAATGGATAAGGCAGGATATATGATAATCTAATTTTTTTATAATGAAAGTGACGATAGAGAACAAAAAACTATACTGAGGAGAGCTCAGGTTAATTAGATACTGATTACAGACAGATACGTCGTCGTTTTTTTTCGTCTAACCAAGAGAACACAGAAAAGAACATGAGAAAAACATATGCTTGGTATTCAAGTGTGAGCTCCCATATGTGGATTGAAATTTTAAATTCCGATTTCGAGATTTTGTCTGACCACATATAGCAGTGGCGTATTTAAGAGAGGAGATTAAGGAGTTGTGTCTCCCCCTTGACCTTCTTTTAGTAACAATTATTCGTATAATTACCTATATTTTGAATTTAAATGTTTATACTTTTTAGTAAGAAAAATCAAAACTGTGCTGGTTCCTAGGAGATATACGTGTATATTTTTTTTTGTTTAAAACGAAATCCATATAAACCAGACAAATAAGTGGGGGGTTATAGATTAGTTCACAAATAGTAAATAAACTAATAATAATTACCAATACCTAGTTAATTTATTTCAATGGTAACTTTAGGGCAGATTGGGTTGTAAATTACTTACAAAAATATATAAAATTGATCTCTTTTTTAGACATTTAACCGGTATACGTTACGCAATATGACACAATTTCCAAATTCAATATCTCACTACATGGCAAAAGACCATTAGACCATAGGTGGCCATAAGTTCAGAATTTCCGATCTCCAAAAAAAAAAAAAACACTCAGAATCGTATTAAAATTCATTGAATAAATTAAGTACGAAGTATTTGATCTTAAGAAATAGAAATCAGAACTTTGATATTTCTAATATACTTATGCAATAAGTATTCCTTGTTTGCATTAATTGAATCGTCTATCGAAAGCGATACTCTTTTTGAAAGTGTAATTCATTGTATTGTTTTACTGAAGGGAATTCGCAGCGGCATTAAACCAGATGTGGTTGACTCTGGCCAAAAGAATATCCGTAAGTGTCCGGGACAATCCAGAACGTTATTCTATGATATACGTACCGAACGGATTCTTTTTAAACTCGGAAAATGACAACGAGTTCCAATATTGGGACACGTATTGGATAATCAAAGGTACCTGCATTTAGCAAAACGGGTTTTAAAACGAATTTTGTGTGAATTAAAAAAAATTAACAATCATATTTTATGTATGAAATTACACTGTATGTACCTGCGTAATAATAATATAACGCACAAAACAATACTTCTGTCCTATATCATTTTCATTGTTTATTTTATTATTTCAACTATTTTTATTCATTTATTCGCGTAACATAAAAATTAAAAATAACACTGTTATTAACAATAATAGTTTACGTCTTTACGTATGCGGATCGTTTTAAATTTAAAAAAAAAAAAAAAAAAAAAATGAATATACCTACAAATTGAAAAAGTTTACTTTTTAGGTACAACACGTCCAATCAAACAAATATGCGCGCTGAAAAAGGCGATTGGATTTTATATAATGTACGGTGAACTTTTTTTTTTTTTTTTTTTTTTTTCTGTAACGGCGAAAAACGAATTCTGAACATAAGTGTTAAGTGTACCCGATGTTGTTATAATACTTTAACGATTGCTTGAACAATAAAATTCTCCATATCATGTCTGTTAATTTATTCAATACAATCTAAACAGTTATCTTTAAAAAGTGCATACTTAACTTCTTTGTTAAATTAATTATCTCTGAAAAATGATCAATCGGAACTTTTTGACCGTTTTTTTTTTCACCGATATAAACGTAATATTTCGTAACGTAAATTAATAAAAACTCACGCACAAATTCGTCGATTATTTGATCCATACAATACTGTATAAAAAAAAAAAAAACAAATACTTTCAATAGCATTGTTTATTAGGAGCGTTGATATGTGGAATGCGAAATACCGTAAAAGGGATTTTAGAAAATTTGATACACATGATTAAAATAAACGGTTATGTAATGTACGGTAATAGAGTGTACTACGGCGGTAGGTCGCAACCTCCGCTACTCATTCAAATGATGGCTGTTTATTACACGTTCACCAACGACAAGGATTTCATATTCGAGAACATCGAGGTAAAAATTAACTCCAACAATAGTGGTAATAATAATCATTATCGTTATCGTTGTTTATGGTAATAATTTTAACGGCGCCAACCGCGCCGTTTTCAAAACATGCGCCAGGTGCTGTCCGATGAGACAATCGGACCTACGACAATTGAGCGCAGGCAACTGAGCGCCGGACGATCGGGCGAGGAGAACTGAGCGGGGCGACGATATTAAGCTCGATGATAATTTTTTTTTTTTTTTTTTCAAATATACATAGGAATATATTATGACGTGTATTGTATTTAATGTATAGAGTTTTGAAATAATTATTTTTCATAAGCGCTTTAAATGTTCGCGTCGTCACAGTACCGTTCCTACGTCCGGTTTCTCGAATAGACGTCGTAGATCCATATATATATATATACATGTCATTATTATTTCATGTTCTTCGCGATATCGTTATCACTCGGATCAACGGTACCTATCGCCTACCGTATCTGTTATGCCCATCATACCTATCATAATTATCGTCTATTTCTCACATGCACACATGATAACGGTCCTAAATATTAACTTGTGGTACTTGTGGTTTTTTTTTTTTTTTTTTTATTAATTACGTGCGATTAAACACTAGTGACGCTTCAACACTAATTGTTAAGCATTTTAAACGTCCGAAAGTCAACGATAACACTGCAGCCACCGTCGTTCTAATTTCTTTTTGATCGTTATTCGTGTTATTTATATTTGATTATTGATTCTCTCAAACTGAAATCGCGTATGGTAAATGCAAATACAATACGCGACCGTATTCAATAATATCTATATTTATATTCGTTTGATAGTTTCTAGACGATGAGATGATGTTCTGGTTGCTGTACAGGAGCATGTACGTTAAGAGCAACGGTAATACATATATTATGGGACATTATATGAGCGATACAACTGATCCTCGTCCGGAAAAGTATGCGTACGTATTTTTTGTTTAACACATAGCCACAAAGTACTATGGCAATTATTAAGTCGTTCAATTCTGTGATATTACGTTTACGTTTAAAGATTTGACATGAAAATAGCGAAAAATCTACCCCAAAAAAGAGATCGAGACGAATATTATTGTAGAGTAAAAGCGGCCAGTGAATCCGGCTGGGGTATTTCAAGCAAACACTTCCATAATCGGGTTGAATTTGAAAACAGAGAACGTAAATATTTCATGATATCTTAGCATTTAAATAACTGTATTGAAATTTTAAGTAGTCGTCTTTCAATCCGAAATTGCATTTCACGTTCAATGTCAGTTTTAATGTCGGTAAGGTTTTTGAAATTCAAACTATGTATTGGCAAACGTATAATGTATTTACAACTTAATTTTGTATTTTTCTCAAAAAATACAGACAGATACGGTCAAAAATTAATGGAAAAAAGTTCATAAAAGATGGCCATATTTTGGTCGACCTACGTATATTATTAATTTCTTACGTTTTCTTATTCTTGTCGTTGCGGCTAATACAATATTTTCCATATATTGTGTATTTTCAAATTGCTTATACATTTATAAATTTAAAGCATATCTTCGGTACTAGCCATAGTGATTTGTGTTTACAGTGATGTATTTGAAAACGAATCCGCTGAATTTTGTGTACGTCGAATTGAATGCTATATTACAGTCAAACAGTGCTATCCTTTCAAAAATGTACCTCCTAAAAGACGACAAGGTTAATGAGGAATTTTATAGAAAACTCGCTCAACGTTACCAGATTGGAATAAACTCAGTAGGTTTCTGTTTTTTTTTTTTTTTGAACGCATATTATTACTTATGGGTATTATTAAGGATATTATATTTGTTTGTATAATACACAGTTATTATGGAATGAAAAAGAAAACATATGGTTGGATTTCGACAGTTCGATTGAAAATAGCAGAAATAATTTTTACGCGTCTAATTTAGCACCTTTGTGGACTTTCAGCTACGACAATAAATTGAGTGAATTCTACGGCGATGCAGCGGTCGACTACCTAATAAGAAACAACATTATAAACTCCGACTTGACGCCACGTTACATATGTGAGTTATGAATATAATAAACGTAAATTTGAACATTAATACTAAAAATTTGAAGAAAAAAAAACCTTTAATAACGATTTTAAAAAGCAGCTCATAAAGCGCTCGAAATTTGATAAAAAAAAAAAAAAAACCTTGGAATACAATAAATACAACCAATTATACAAACGAAATATTTTCTTCGTATGAAGATAAAAAAAAACCAAAACCAATAATAATTAAAACGTTACAGTTATTATAATATTAGGTACTCTAAGTATAATAGACAATACAATATATCCACACACAACGTAGTTTAACATGGCTGAAATATTTTGTTAAGTATACCATAAAACACATTTAAAAAGAAAAGATTCTAAACGTCAAAAAGTAAAATAAAAATTCAAAACTGAATTTATTCTTTTTATAATTTTAATTTTTGTACTGATAAAGCTATGGTTTGCAATACGTTTAAATATAAAGAGTATTTGATACAAATGTACAGCCCTAATAATAACTGTCTATATGTTTTGTGTTTTATGTTGTTGATAATTTAATTAAATATTACTGCACATTTAAGTCATTTTAAACTATAACCTTCCTGTAGGTTACAATATAATCGTATTATAAAATGCATTTTGTTTTTTAAATTTTTAGACCTAAATTTTTTTTTTATTGTGTTATAAATATAGAAACATAATGTAGCATTTCGTACAGTTATACATTTGAAAATATTGCGGAGATGCAAAATAATAATTGTACTTGATACCTAAATATTTAGTTGGTGTTAGGTAATTATTTCTTTCGAGTGTCTTTCCTTATCCGCAATCAAATGCTATTAAATTTTCATTAAATACCACCAGCAGTGGCAAATTACCCGTATAAATACAAATTATTTTAGTGCTCCAAAATTACAGAATCCAACATGACCAAAAAAAAAAAAAAACGTCGATTTTTGAGACATTTTTCCGATAAAATCACTAAAATATTACGTCTCTATGAAATATTCACTTAAAGGCATTCCGACGTCTTTGTACAAATCCGGTCTAGAATGGGACGATACCAACTGTTGGCCACAGTTACAGTCGATGATCATTTTCGGATTACAAGCGACTAGAAGTGAGAGAGCGAAAATAGTAGCGTCAAATTTCGCTAGTTCTTGGATGCACACAAATTTTGTAGGATATAAAAACACGAACTCCATTTTCCAGAAGGTAAACAAAATAATAATATCGAAAACAGCTCAATTATAGATTCGAAAACCAGACAAACGTTTTAATAAAAATAACCGTTTTAAAATAATTACAGTACAGCGCAGTTAAATTGGGCAGTGAAAACAATGAAGGGGAACTATTTGATATCATGCAGCCAAAAGCAAACGGAGTGTCAATGGGACTGCTGTTTGAAATTTTTCATGAATGGGGGAATGTTTTGGAAAGCAAACAGCCCTGAGGACGGAAATCGATAGAATATTAAATATTTTTTGTAAAAAAAGTAAATTATGAAAATATAATATTTTCCCTCTGTATTTTTGCGGTTCTATACAGTTTGGTCGTGGAATATTACAATAATACTAGAATATTATAAATTATTGTTATTTGCATAATATTTACCGAATACACGTGAAAGGTGTTCCGCACATACTATAGACTTACAAGTTTGAATCCATAACGCAGACATAAGTAATCAATTGATCCCTATAGTCTCGCGGGGTATCTACGATACGTTCAGTTTTATCGCGATATAACGATCGATTGCGCCGGAATTCAATCGTGCAATTCGAACATCAAACCGTTAAAATTAAATCAAACGGATATAACACTTTACTAGTAATCGCGGTCTCTGGGTTAATACGTAGAACAAATATCTAAACGGCAAAATAAACTGTGCGTTTCACAACGGATAACATAAGTAAACGGTGTTTTTAGTTCTCCGAAAATACAAAGAATGGGTGTTTAGATGTTTGCATAAAATTATCGCCCCTTTTCTATTTTTATTTTCGGTAGGTTCACGTTAACATGTTTATCTCGTAATATATCGGATTGATCATAAATCAGTTAAAGTTTTAAATGTTTGTCGAAATTGTACTATTGTTTATTTCTTTGTATTAATGATGAAAAAAAATTCTTCGAACAGTACGCTATAGATAATTAAATAAATATATTATATTGATATTATAATACTTAATTAATAATAATCGATAGGTTTTTTTTTCGAATTTCCTGTGTGACGCACAATTATCGGAATCAAAATGCGTTTTTTTTTGTTCGATAAAATATAGCGATTACATACACCGTGTTGTTTTCCACTTACCTGTGTATATGGAATATAACAGGAAATAATAATTAAACGATTTTACCGAAGTAAAATACAATTTTAGAATCTGAGTGGAGCGAAAAGGAGGACTATATTTTGTCGGCCATACGTACCATACATTCTATTTGGATTTAAATTCTGGAGTTTAGGCAGGAACTTTTTTTTCATATTATAATTTAAACCTATTTAAATAATTACAGCTTTTATTAATTTATTATTATTTATAAACTTATAATTATAATGGATACGTACGAATGTAAATATTATACTTTACAGTCACGTACAGTGAACACGTGCCTCCCAATTTTAAAATATGACATTTTTCTTGACCCAATCGTTAGTATTCCGTTAGTATATTGTATAGTAGAACAAAAGTACCTAACCTAACCTATACCATACAGGTATTGATTGATATTTAGGTAGGCATATTTGTGTGCATTTTTCGTAATTAATCGATAAAAAATTAATTCCAATTATTTTTAAAACACTTACAATAACCCGAAAATAAATCAGGAAGGGAGGGATAAGTATAAATGTGGGCACGGGGAAGGCCTCCTCTGTGAGATTTTCCATCAGAATACTTTTAAAAAAAATATATTAGATACACATTTTGTTTAAAAAATATTGAACCTTAAGTTACTCTTAATTTTATGCAATGGCGAAAAAGGGGAAGGTGCCTTTGAAAGAATTTGATCCCCCTGAATACTTTATCGAGTAAATACTAAGTATACATAATCAATATTATTGGGGCTTAAGCCACCTTTACAAATATTAACATTATGAGGATAAGTACCGAAATTCAGAAATAATTATTTATTAATAGGTACATTTGTTTTACAAAATACCTTAATAAAAAATAATTAAAATTAAAATTTGTTTATGATTTCAACACCTCCCTTATTATACCAAGTTCAAATTCTGGAACTCCATGTAGGCGATGACGTAATGGAAAAGGAATGGTAATGGAAGAGCTTTTTTTTTAGCACCCTAAACATTTTTATTGAAATTGGAGTAATATTAAATTTATATTTTTTTTCTCAACAAAAATAACAGGTTGGTGCACTCAAAGTTGAGGACATTTTTTTGTTAAGCCTTGGACATGATCATGTGGCTGCTAGATTCTATTTTTCCCGGGCCGTTCAGATCATGCCTATCAGCCCCAGGCGCTGGTGAATGTCAAGTATTTGGTAGAGAAATTAAGCTGGCCTAATGGCTACTTGTTCACTCCAACTTATTTGACTGCTATTCGTATGTATTGTGTATTACGCACAGAGACAAACTGATAAAGTTAATAATATTGTATTATAACCATACCACACTAAACAATAAAATTACTACCTATACAAATTATTTCATATTATCGTAAGGACAAGTTAGGTATCAATAAAAATTACAAATATATACGTTGTGCATTTGGTGTGAACGTAAATTGAATAAATGTAAAATTAGATTTTTTTACATGATAAATTGTGATTGGGTTCACATTTTCCGGGAAAAGATTATAGCACCGTTTTGGCGACGAAATAATTTGGTTCCGTTTTCTATATTGTAGGGGCGAAAATATTAACGTACCTCCGGCACTTCAATATGTAGCCACGCCACTAGAAATATTATTGTTTTTTGTGCAATGCGAATTCGAACACCGCGTCCGCGTCCGCGGATAATTTCTCATAACATTGTTGTGTAATATTTATCTTGCCAATAAAATATAATACATATTATGCGGCGAGATCATTTTTTTTTTTTTTCTATGCTATTTAACTAAGCTATTTATACGTCCTATTGACGTATAAATCAATAAAAATATTAATAATATAAATATTGAATATAATATTTTGTTGTCCTTTGTCTATCAGTGTAATCGAACAATACAATATTTACACGAAGTTATTAATATAATACATCAAAAATTAATTAAAAAAATCGCGTAAAGACGCCTGTTTACCTCTTTTTTCTTTTTCTCGGAATATTAATTGTATCTATTCATTTTTTATCTGGTTTTCAAACATATTAAACTGGTAAAAATTTTCGTGTTCCAACTTGCTTGCGGATAATATTCTTCTCGGAACGTTATTACTCAACGTTCAATATCGGCAATTCTTCGAATCGTTCGTTTAAAAAAAAAAAAAAAAATAAACACGATGTAATACGCTTAAAATACCTACCATACTCTATTTTTTTTTTTCATACATATTATTTTCCATGTAACAGACAACGCTATCGTGATAACGGAGGATTATTTTTTTTTAATAATAATAATGCGGTATATTTCACTTCCGAAAGCCGGTTTCGATGAATTGTTATTGTAATACGGTAGGTAGGTACTAGGTATGGTTTTTAGATAAAAACAAAATACGAGGATACGGCCACGGAGCCTCTAACGAGACGAGTTCAAAAGTCACTCGGCTGACATAGTTTTTTTTTTATTATTATTATTGTTATTATTGACTACACATTTTAGTGTTAAATAAAATTCATGAACTGAGTTTTATTGTCTGGCATGATACGTATCATTACGTCATGTCAAAACGAAAACGTCTATAACGCCCCATAATACGAAAACAAATTAAACTAGTAAATAAATATCCCAACAAAAACTCTCCGTCAACTACGTGTGATAACCTCGCTAAGAAAAAAAAAGACTCAAGTTAGAAAAGTTGTAATGTCAAAAAGCTAAGTAATTTCTCAAATTCATTTGTATTGAATTTTTTTTATAATTGTTTGTATTTCATGAAGTGCGATAATTTAATACAAATAATTTAACTTAGCTTGGTGGCCACTACAATATTTACGGGTACAAATAAAGATACAACGCCGACATGAATATTTACATTCTCATTTTATAATTTATTAATATTACCATAATACGATAAGTGCATACTATGAGTAGCCGACGAGCTAAGTTTAAATTATTGGTATCGGATCACTTCCCCATCTGCCATTTCCCCGTCAAACATTTTCCCGTAAGACAATCCCCCGTCCAATACGTTTCTCCGTACGACATTTCCTCGTCCATATTATATTTCTATATTATGTTATAAATATACGAAATAATATTAAAAAAATTAATCTATATAGATCACGTAATTAATATAATATGTATTGCAATAAAATCGTAGATAATATTACAGATAGTCCATAATGTGTGTTGACTATAAGTTTATCGGCGTATTATTTGGATTTTGCACCGATAACGAAAAATATATAACAATACATTTTTTGTTGGAAAAACATTGAAGCCGATTTAATTTTGTGTAATGGACGAGGAAATATCGAAAAGTTAACGTATAGAAAATATTGTATCTGCATATGACGGACATGATCTAGAGGAGTACTTAACTGGAATCGCTCATAATTTAGAGCTACAACGTTAAAATATTTTATGGTAATTTTTACATTTTTAAAAAATTCATTATATTTTTTTTACAATTCTTACATATTTATAATATGGACGGGAAAATGACAGACGGGGAAGTGTTCATGAATTTCATTATTATTTATATCAAATTATTTGTATTGAATTATCGCACTTCATCAAATACAAATAATTATAAACAATTTCTATACTAATGAATATAATAAATTACTTAGCTACTTTTTGATATCATAACTTTTCTAACTTAAGTTTTGTTTTTCTTAGCGAGATTATTACACGTAGTTGGCGGAGGGTTATTGTTGGGATATCACTTATTTTTTTATTAAAATTTTTGGATATAGTAAACCCCCATGTTTTATTTGTTTATTAAGTGAAAAATTGTGGAAACAAAACATCTTTGTTGTTTTGCGAGTTGAGTAAACGAGCATATTATGATGTATAGTTATGAATATAGTTTATTATGAATATTACTGGAAAATGATACTACAGTAATGCAGCGATAAATTAAATAAACAAAATTGTTTTTTATTCAACACAAAAGGTCACCGTCGCAAACAGGTGGTAACAACGCGTACAACGTACACATTGTTGAATTGTTAAAAAAAAATAGCGTTTCAAGTAAAAACTATGCCAATACTTTTGCATATTACTCAAGCTATAATCATCCGATCAGCTTGAAATTTGAAAAATTATCATTCACTTAACATACTAATCAACCCGTGTAAATTTCAAAATAATCAGTACATTAGTTTAGGCTACAGAGAGATCGGACCATTTGTTGTAAAACTACACAGGTTAAATAGGAATTAGCTATCTCGTGTAATATACTACGGTCGACGCAATTTTAAAATACCTACTTATTGTAG